GAAATGATGAAATCCGTATATCCAAGCGCCCATGTTAAGTATGTTTATTATATAAATTCAAATTCACAGACTCCACGTTTCCCTGCCCTTAAAGATTGGATTAAGATTAAGAATTAAGATTACCCCGTGGTACGTAGATGACTCAGAGTTAAAGTGCAAAAAAGACGACGTTAATGACATGCTAGACCACATTAACAGTATGGAACCGGGAATAATCAAATTYACCGTCGAAGAAGCTGAAAACGACACATTGTCAGTACTCGATCTGAAAGAACATGTCACGTTACTGCGTSACAAGAGTAATGTAGCGATAGTATGTTTTCCTTTGGGAAAAATTAACTAATGATTGATTTAGTTGCATGGACATTTTTATGTAAATTTATGAACTTTTGAGTGTTGTTTTGAGAGAATATAGTAAACCATCGAGTTCATTTTTCATAGACCTACACCGGGTTCCCGCGCGTACGCACGTTTCCTTTCGTACTCCTTAGCTTCCTTCCGTCCGCATACCACCACAGGAAACCCATACTCTGCGCGAAAAAGAAAAAAAGCGACAAAATATTTGTTGAAACATCGAGGTTTTTTTATTGTGGATGCTCAAGYAGTTCTTCATTCTGTTTTTCTCAAAGGAACAAGGTTGTACTGCATGCAGACGAAACACGTGATTGTAACGTAATACCATTGGCAATCCACGTGCATAAAGCGCGTGTTTGCGTTTTCCTATTCAAGATTTCAATTTTCATATAAGCAGTTTTCAAGTTAATAATGATATGTTATGAACTTATAGATATAGATAAGACAGGTAAGGACTAGTGTCACGTGATGCTTCATGAAGCGCGCGTCTCACAACACTATAGTCATGACGACAGTTGTCAGTCAAAAAGGACTGCATAAATACGTCTTCCAGCAAACAAAACCAGGTCAAAAATTAAAGGAATAGACAATTKATGAATTGAGAATTCTTTGAGGTGTAGAAAACAGAGATTTTTATCTGCAAGATTTTTCTAATATAGATCAAGCTTGTTCAAGCCTGGGTCACACGGGCGACTTCATTGACAGCACACTGTGAAAAGCTACTGATCATTAATTATYATTTAATTTGTTATTCCCTGACGACTTAATGATATAGATTCAAACTTTAGACATAGTTATTTCGACACTAAAACCACGAATCATCCGAAATCCCTTTCTATCCAAGATTCAGCTAATCATACAAAGCTGATATGCGCAAAACAGATGCGTCAATAGCAAGAACTGGCTGAACTGCCATAGTTTGTTCTAGCTAAGGTCAGCTGTACAGGTTTACTGCCGATAGCAACAGTGATAATATAGGTGCAGTTTCCTTTAATATGATTAAAACACTCGCATAGACTGATAGTGAATGCAATCAGCATGAAGACGTTGGCCGTAATTGCAGTTTTGGTTGGAATCGTTTCATCCTTGACCTGCATCGAAGGTACATAACATTTCAAAAGTACTAACTGCAAGCACATTTTAAGTAAAGCAAGCAAATCTGTAAAATGAAAATTCACAGTGCAGCTAAAACTAGTTTATATGAGTCATTGACTAATAAAATAATATTTTTTCACGGATTGGATGGTTTATTAGTTTAATGCACACCACAATATACTTTGTATATTACTCCGCCATTCTTATTCTCTAATTTATTATTTGATACTTTTCTTGCCAGCAAATGAAGCAATTGATAAAAGAAAAAAAATCAAAAGAAACGTTGTGGTCTGTGACACTGCATGTAACATTGCGAAAATGAGCACAAATCTTGAAAAATATTCTTCGAACTAATATTGCAATTGTAGATCAAGTCAGCTTCATCTTTTGTCTTAAACGCTCAAAAGACTATGAAAATTATACAAAAACAACTGATAATTATCCAAAGGACATGGAAGGAGGTATATAATTCAAGATTATATAAGCTGATTTGTGCAGAAATTATGCATTTTCTACCACCAAGGTCGGGGACTTCGATCTTCGCACTAACAATGTTCACAAAGAAATAACATAAATATATAAGGTTCATACCTTTACAGAAGAACATCAGTGGACTAATCATCTGAAAAATATTGATGCCTTTTTAGAGTGCACCTTCACAATTTTTTTTTTAATCTTTAAAATGAAAATTGAGGTTAATGGAATCATATCTGTGAAAGAATTTTTCGTTTTTATAAAAAAGCGAATTTTTGGTGAGCTTACAAACATACGAAAATGTCCACTTTGAGCTCTTTTTTTGGTTCAATACCGGGAAAGACTGGGACTGACTCTGACGTCATCCCAGGACAAGGCATTTGTTGTTATCGAAGCTTGACAGTGGATTTTATCGCGAGTCAACTCCAAAAATCTTATTTAACATCGATTTTTATGCTCTTTCGCGAATGAAATGCCCATCAAGTGCGTTGTTGGTGGCTGCAGTAACAGGCCAGATATTTTGAAGGGAATCGACCTTCAAGTT